TGAAAAATTTTGGTTGGTCCCAAATTCATATTTTCTATATACAGTAGAATTTTGATAAATTAATAATTTCTTTAATTAATATATTTTCTCCATCCCATATTTAACAACGTATTAAAAATATATTTTGGTAAATTATTAAAATTTTGTTGGTCTTAACCCTATTAATTTACAGATGTATTTATTATCGAGTTCTAAAAAATGTAGAAACGTATGCTCAAATATAATCAGGGTCCACTTATAAATGAATTAATTTAATGGCTCAAGCTTTATTAAATTAATAGTTTAAGCCCACTATGGTTCTTAATTAAAAGTGTGTTATTTCTTAACAAGTATCTATAAAATTAATTATAAATAATACTTGGCTCACTTTGATAAAGTACATGCTATTACTTCTTTTAGATCTCTAGAATTCATTACGACATTTGTAAATTGTTTGACAATTAAATTTTGAGATAAATTACTTCTTCCGTTATGCGCACATATTAAGAATTTCGTTAAATGTGTCTTGATTTTATAAAAAAATGTATAGTTTTTAGACTAAATTTGCCTTATTCTATAATTAATAAGAGAGAGAAATGAATTAAAAAACATTATTAGAAAGAGTTAATATGGGTATAAACAGAAAATTAAGTAATTAATGCAGTATTGAAAATCTAAATTAACAGATAATATGAAACAAAATATTTTAAAAAAGAGACAGTTATAAATGGAACAACTAAAGTATCAAATAATAACCAAATAAATTGGCTATTAATTTGGATCCCAAATTAATGCCCTAATACTCAAGAAATCCTAGCTCGTGTGGCATGCCTATAAAATGAGTGATTCGGTGCATTGGGAAAGACAGGTTCACATAGACACATATCGAGCTTTTAAGCACAAGTCTCGAGTCTCCATCACGAATTCATAACATATTTGAATTCAGGTGTTTATATTTATTTCATCACGCAAAAGCTTTTAAGCCCTTGAATCATCAATATCGCAGATTGTAATTTTTTTTTTTGGTTTAATAAATTAAATTGTTCCCACATTTTTCTTTGCTCATAATTTCATTTTGCAGACGTTAAAATTTCCAGTCAACATAAATATCTTCTACTTTTGAAAATTATTTTAATTTTACTCGCAATCACAAACTTCTTCTAATTTCACAAGAACTTTTTTTAACACAACCTTATTAAAAATAAATAAATAAATAATAAATAAAGTAGGTGGAATGGACAATATTATGACCTCATCCAATTGATTCAATCTACACACATTAAAAAAAAAACAAAGAATATAGATTAGATTTAGTTGTCAACAAAAGTAAAACAATTCATGCAAGTTGCTCAACTTGTGGTGCTTACTTTAATGTCCATAGGGGTATATGATAATGTTTAATTCTTTTTAAATACATTAATTCTTTTAAATTAAAGTCACAATTTGAAAATAACATAGGAATTAAAGAAGTTGCATTCGAGTCATTATTATGATGTTAACACACCCACTTGTAGTTGTATTTTCTATGGCTATCTTGGAAAAGGATTTACACTACCCATTCATTATTTTAAGGCGCTCATTTTTATGTATTTTTGTTGAGGAAGGAAAAATTAAATAAATCTAAAAATAGAATAAATATTACTATTTTTAGTGATTAATAAAAACTCACAAAAATGTAATCCTTATGTAACTTAGTCTATTTTGAGATTTAATTTGTCCTTTTATAAATAACTACACATCATTAATATTATATTTATTTTAATTTTGGGAGAAATTTGTTGAACTCTTGATTTTGCCTATACATGGACTAGGTGTGATATGGTCCTTTTTTGAGAGATAGTGCACCAACTCTTAAATTGTCTAATAATCATATAATATAATCTAATATTTGAAATTAAGTATATTGTGGATTGTTTGGGTTCAAATTGATCATCAACTTATCATATCATCATGATAAAGTGTTGTGATGCTAAGGAATCTAAGGAGTGTTAGTGAAGCAAATAATTTGATGAGTAGTGTAGGATTGAGCATATACTGATAACACACTAATCACTGATATGAGTGCTTATTTAAGGTGAATTGTGTTGAATGAATGGATTGCTGTGGGATTCGAACTCATGACCTTTTTATTTGGCACGACTTTGATATCATGTTGAATGACCATCTCAATCAAAAGCTTAAGTTTTTAGTGAAATGTATCATTTAAATATTAATATCTCAAATAAATTGAGGTAGATTATCAACAGTTTGTAGACAGTCCAACACACAATCTAATTTAATTTAAGGGAATTAAATGGCAAAAATTGGGATCTAATAATCGAGGTTGAATTACAACAAATTTAATTATAATTGATTCATTATTTGATTATTTTGTTATTGCTAAACTTAAATCTCAACTAGTATTTGAAAAACTTGATTGTATCGTCTAACAAACATAACTTCAATTCCCAAACATGGCCTAAATATTGCCAATATCTAAAAGGTTTGGTCACAATTCACAAATCTTTTCTTACACGAAACTTCTTCGATACACATGCAATCATGCATGCATAATGCAGTAATTAAGCACAAGTAGATTGCGAAGAATATTTGAAAATCATGATTACTCTAAAAGACAAATGTATAGTATTATGGGTGAAAATCAGATGGATTGGAATCGAAAAAATTCAAAAAGAAAAACAAAATCAAAAGCAAAAAACTAATTCCGATCCTCATTTAAAAAAAAAAACATAAATCGAATTGGTACGAAAAAAATATTCTACAATCGAAAACTTTGGATCATAATCGATGGAATCAAAATTTCTAATTTTTAAAATTGCGTATGATATAAAATATATAATAATTTTGATATTATAAACGTAATTTTTGAAAATCAAAATCGAATCGAAAAATCAGAACCTCATATATATTCGAAATCTATTCAATTACTCCCTCCGTTCCATAATATTTGTCGCTTTGGAGAATTTTTTCTGTTCCATATTATCTGTCACTTTAAATTTCTAACACTTCATTAATTACTTAATTTCCAGTTTATACCCTTATTAATTTTTTTCAATACTCTTTTTTTCAACTAATTTCTCTCTCTCATTAATTATAAGTCAAGGTCATTTTAGTCTAAATACATATATTTTCCTAAAATCAAGACACATTTAATGAAATTCTTAATCTTTGTGCAGAGCTAAAAAAACGACAATTAAAACGAAACGGAAGGAGTACAACAAAAAGAAAAAAAATGGAAAAATAGAAAATCAACATTTTCTTGATTCAAATGAAAAATATTATCTAAAATAATAAAATTTGTTCCAATTTCCAAAATAAATTCACATAAAAACTAGATTATTCCCCTAAAAAAAAGGGTAAATAGTAAATATTGTGGAAACAAACATGAAACACGAGAGGATGGGTGGCATGATTAAAATGGCAAAATGGTCCTATGGAGAGAATCTCCAAGAGAAAGATAGTGAAAATCTTACAGTGGGCCCCGCTTCAGAGTAGCTTCCCCCAACTTGCAATTAACGGCGTGAGACACTTGGTCGGCTTTTTGAGTACACGTGTCGATTCCTCGTTCAGATCAACAGGTACGCACCATGCAACTTGCTGAAGGCGACGTGCAGAGTAGAATAGTGGACCCCACCATAATTTGCTGACGTAATGCAACCGAGGTTGATTGTGGGGGGCCCAGTCCTTTTTCGCTCCTTTTATCCAACTTTACTAAACTATTCATTCAATCTGTTATGCTATGCCTGTCAAACACTACGTATTATATTAATTCGCCAAATAAAAAAAAAAATTACGTAATTAAATTTTTATATATAAATAACTCATTTTAATTTTATTTTTCTTTAATTGTATTCGAAGGAAAATAGAAAACGTCTGGTATGTAGGCTTATAGTCAAGCTCATATATTATTATTGGGCCTTGGCCCAATACATAGAAGTGTAGGCCCAAACATAATAATAAGATGAAATGACGGCCACCCACGAGGTAAGGTCAAATTACGAAAAAACCACTCATGTTTGGGTAATTCGAATCATGCTCTAAGCTATGATATCTTACACATTCACCTTTATGATGTTCAATTCAACAGAACTCTTTAGATTCAGTGGAATGATCCCCAAATTTACTCGTTTTGTGTAAAAATGCAGTTTCTGATACACCACAATCTGATATTTACAAGCCAAAAGACACATATTATTATCAACTAATTTCAAAAATGTGAAGCTCGAATGGGATAAAACGGACAAGAATATTCTACATCATCTAGAATATTCCACTAAATTTAACACCACAATGGTGGACGTGTAAGAAAATTCATAGTTGGGGGTGAGATTGTAATTACCTAAAATATGAGGGGTTTTTTCATAATTGGGCCTTACTTCAGGGGGTGACCATAATTTACCCAATATATTATCGACCATACTAGCTGATAAAATTCTTTGGGCAAATACGGCCACCCCCTAAGGTATGCCCAAATTACGAAAAAACCCTTCTTGGTTGGGTAATTACAACTACCCCTCATTTTAAATATTTTTACATAAAATTCATGTAATTCGGTTATTACAAAAACCAAATCGTATATTTAGTTCGGTAAATGGTATGAAATGTTGGCGTACCGAAATTTCGGTTCGGTTTTGCCGAATTAACATCCCTAAATTTACCTATGGAGGGGTCTTTTCGTAAGGTAATACATAATTGAGGGGGGGTGACTGTAATTACCCACACACGAGGAGGTTTTCATAATTTGACCATAACTCAGGGGGTTGGCCATAATTCTCCCAAATTCTTTTAGTGTAATTCTTTTAAAATAATTTCATTTATATTTGAAACAATGATTATGAAATGAGAGCAAAAATGCAATTGTTATTACTTTATATTTTACCATATATTTTTTTTACTGATTTATGCAAAGACCAAGAAAACTCCTCACCAGACAAATAACATTTGGTCATTTTACGAATAACATTCCTCAACGCTGTGAAATGGCCTCCCTTCCTTCTACATTTAAAAAGAATTACTGGTAACTAAACTAAGAATAGTCTCATTTTACCGTTCAGGTGACCACATATGCAGTAAAAACTCTTATCAAAATTGGTACCGATTATATTTATATTTATATATAAATCTCACTTTGAATTTACGGAGAAGCCAAATCAGGATTTGGGCCCGTTCCTCTTCCTTGTTGATAGCCTTCTCTCCTGCGGGCCCCACTAAAATTTCCTCGACCCCTGAAGCTGTCATTTCCCATATAGCTCCGACCCCCGTTGAAGTTTCCACGACCCCTGAAGTTACTATCTCCACGAAACGCTCCACGTGGACTTGTAAAACGACCCCTCCCTCCACCGACTGCAAGGGGGGTGGGGGGTAGAAGTATCAGATTTCATGCAGATTTGTAATGTGAGTGTGTTAAATTGAAAATAGAGATAATCAGAAGTTAATGCATATGGGCGGGATTTACCTCGGGTTGTGGTTCTCTTTATCTCCACAGAAACCTTATGATCCTCGATCATGATAGGAGAAGCCTGAAAATTAAATCATTAGCTCGCTACGATAACATAAGCAGGGAATATTTATTTATCGGTTCTTGATTATAAGTTCCCCAAAACAGTAAATCCGCAGTATGATTATCGCGATATACTACATAGTGGAATACGTACAATAAGGTGAAATTAGAAAGGTCGGATGAAAACTCAAAGCATCAACTTGTGTAGAACTCATATACAGCAGTCACAAAGGATAGAGAGACTTCAGTCTTAACGGGAAATTTGAGATTCAGAGTCGAAATGGGATTTTAGATGTTCGTAGTTGACAGTTGGGGAAGAAAAGAGGAACGAAAGAAAATAAAACACAATCTCAGACTGGGGCAATAACTCCCTACAAATTTCGGTATCACAACAATGGTATAAAAATGTCGATTTATATTGAGTCAGTATCCAAATTTAAGATCCATTCCAGGATCAAATATAATGATTGTTTATAACTTATGTTTAGCTCAAACCATGTCACAGTGACAGCAGCAAAATGAACTACTCAGAAGCGATCTCACACACAATCACACAATTCTTGTGCAAGGGCAAGATCATAACTGTATTCTTAACTATGAATGCAATCTGAAAATATAATCGGAAAATGTAGAATCTGAAGAGCACTTACTTTAATTGCACTTTGCATGGAGCTGAATTCTTGAAACTCGACAAAGCCATAACAGAATCCTGTTGGCTGCAAAGGGAGGATGTTTGCTATTAGCATCAACATAAGCTGAGAAAATAGAACGACAAACTAAAAGAACTGTTGTAATGAAGCCAACCTGATTACTTTTGATTTGGATCCCGTTTTGCTTAATAGGTCCAAATTTCTGGAATTCAGCTTCAAGTTGAGCAACGGTTGCATTTGGAGGCAAATTGCGGACGTATATAGAATGACCATCAACTGCAAGAAATAAGGCATATAAAATATAATTTGCAGATATCCAACAATTGATGTCTCGTCTATGGGTTGTTTTTCCTCTTTCTTATTTTTAATAATCTTAGATTGCTCGTGGTACTTTGTTCTTACACATAAGTTGGTAAAATCACTACGAAGAAAAGAAATGGACCTTCATCCTGCGAATCATCACTTTCTGGTGCATTTACAGGTGCAAGAGGAGCTGATGCTTCAGAGGTCAAAGCCTCTGTAACTGGATTAATGGATTGCTTCTCAGTCTTTGCAGAAGATACTCTTGCTGTATTTGCAGGAATATATACTTTAGTAGGAGCCTTCTTTGTTTGTGAGCTAAGAATTGATGCGTATGACTTCTTTGGAGCATCCTCTTGAGATGCCAAAGTTACTCGTTCTTCTGCTACCGATGCATGATTCTCTTTTAAATGAACTTCAGTTTCCATCACAATATCTCTATTGTCAATAACTGGTCTCTCATCGACCACTTTGTCGTTTTCTTTCTCCTCAATAGTCTTAATTTCCTCCATGTGAGGAGTTGTGTCATCTGGTTTAAGAGGATCAACCACCTGAGGAGGCTCTGCAAACAAATGAAAGTAATTAAAAAACCCAAATACGTACAAATGTAATATAATGAGATTTTCGAACGATAAGCGAACCTTGATCTTGTGTCATAGTACTTGATGGTATGTCATTAACCACAATTGGCACCACTGCCCTAATTTCTGGATCACTCTCGTCCACATACCTGAAAACATCATTTAAAACATAGTACCCTTTGTCTTGAGGAGCAAGAAAAAATGTCTGTACGAACTTTGTTTGCATATTGTCCTTTCCAGTCAAGCACCCTGTGACAAGGACGATCACCCCCTCATTAAAGGAATTTTGAGCATCAGCAGTTTTTATCACCGCCTTGTAGTTCTTGTAGTCCAAGGAGCATATCGTATCGTTTATGCTCTGCTCCAACATGAAAAAGAGAGCAAACATTATGTCACTGATTGTTGCATAAGCGCCAGAGCTAGACTTGTGGATAAAGATGTTATATCTAATTAAGTCGATCAAATAGATAATTACTTGAGCATCTGCTCAAATCATAAGAGTTGGGTCTATTAAAATAGAGTACAATAAAAAGAATGACGCAGAAACTGATTTTGACTAAGTTAATAGTAAACGGTGATCATAGTACCTAATATGCGATTGCTAGAGAAGTAACACCTAATATCATGAATTTCCATTTGCAATATTTCTTCATGAGAATAAGGAAAAAGAATGTTGAGAATTAAGATTTTGACATGAATTTCCCTTTGAAATATGTCTTCATGCAAGGAAGGGGAGAAAATGTTGAGAAGTAAAACTTTGACCAAGTTACAAGATGTCGAGATTAAATCAATGACAATGATATTGCTTGTCGATCAACCCATATCAAGTTCAAAAATAGCAGTTTCAAGGAAGAACGTGCAAATAACTAATTCATGTACGAAACTAATACTCAGCGAAAATTCCAAACAAACTTACTTCCATTGTCGTCACAGTTGTCATAAGACCACTAGAATCTGGTCTACTTAACACACTCGAATCCTGGTAAAATCGGTAAACCAGCTCCGGAGAGTGATGGAGGATATGGTAATACTGCTCAACGAAGGCATTTCCAACCACTTGCGCACTAGGAGTTGGCGGAGGATTTGCATTTTCCATGGCTATTCATAGAAGAGATTATAAACCGATGTTAGAATAGTACTTTGGAAATCTTTTCATACAAAATGCAAGAAAGAGATAGTACATAAGAGCTCTTACAAGTCTAAATATCAAATAAGCCATTCACAGGGAAATAGATTCAAAAAATAATGATACACAATTTGACAAGCAACAGAAACCCTACAAACCTCCGAGCAAACCGTAAACACGGATATCCACAATTAACGATTTTCATAATCATTGGCAGAACATAATCTAATACTATCAACGAAAAAACAAAAACGCACGCACACAAGTAACAGGTTTTTTCAATGTTACACTCGGTGAACTTCACCTGTATAATCCATTATCCATACATATTATACACACATCAACACGTACACGTGTGTGATTATGTGTACATCAAAATTGAAAAAACTACCCATGCATTTCACCATGTGTAGCATTTACGAGCCTGAAGTAACAAAACATTTTACATATCATTTACCGATTAAACAAATATAATATAGAAATCATTTCCGAAAAACCGTAATCGCCTAGTTTATATGCCTACAATAAACCCTCACAGCTTCCCCCAAAAATGCTTATTCATCAACATTCCTATTAATCGGAAAACCGAACACGGAAGCTAACTGAAAACAAGGAGGTTTCACTGATTCAACCAGCAGATCTAACAGTGACGAGAAATCAACAACAAAACCCTCGACGCAAAAGGTAACAGCGAAAATGAACTGCGGAATGTACAAAAATTCATCTACAAACGCAACACATTCTCGATCGGTGTAAAAACAGCGACAAAAAAATCTTCACATTTCGTCGGTGATCACGCACATAAAAATAATTAAAATAAATCAAATGAAAATGACCTTGGCATGATCTGATTAATGTAGTGAAATTGATCGTTTACCTGATTAGAGGACCTTGATTTGCGACTACAGCGAGAGTGAGATGAACGGGGGAGTGTAGAGAGAGAAGAGACGGCGAATTTTGGAGTGAGAAAGAGAGAGAGAGAGAGAGAGAGAGATTGTGTGTGTGTGTTTTGTGTGTGTGAGAGAGAGAGAGAATCGGCGACGGGAAAAATAAGAGACTGAGCGAGACTGCTTGTCGTGGATTTTTAAACATTTTTTTAATTTTGATTTATATTTGTTAAAAATAGTAACTAATGATAATAATCTTATCATAATTTGTTAAAATAGTAATTAATGATAATAGTTTTATTATAATTAGATGAAAATGGGCATTGAGTAAGATTATGATCTAGTTTCTCTATGTTGTCTTAAAAATAAAATTTGATTGCAAAATAAATTAAAGTTATTTGAGATTTGATTTCAAGATTAATAATTAGGGGATTTTATTAATAGGGGACGTCCACAGTCATTTTTCACATTAAATATTAGTCCTACTCACTTCTCTTCATCTTGTTTCGAATTACCTCCTTCTAACTGACGACCGTCGTTGAGGCACCACCATCTGAACACCAAATGCCTCCACCGGCGCCGAGGCTCGATGTCCGTACATGAAAAAACATTAACCACCTTCGAGAAGTTTGAATATCAAGGACGAGACACCACCGTCTAGATTCAAACACATCACCGTCGGAACTGAAACAATGCTACTCTCACATACTGGCAACTTCCTCCTCTACGGCTTTGACCACCGCATTCCGTTCGATACACTCTAGTTTTTCTGCCATGGATTTTAGTATCGGCATGTGACAGTTTACGTAATCGACTATAGTCGATTAACAAATTAACTATATTTTTTTATAGTCGATTTATTATTTTTAGATCTAATATACCCTTTAATATTTTAATCAACTACGCAAACAACACAGTCGATTCACATCCAGTTGAATCCAGAATGCAGCGAAAGAAGACAAGGTAAACTACTTATTTCCAAATGGTGGGTCCATCTCATTGAAAATTCAAGGGGGTTTTTCACTAATTTTCTCTAATTCCC